TCAGTTAAAGCGACAAGTTCTGCAGCTTGTGCAGACAGGTGACTTAGCAATTTTCCACTTTTTAACAACCTATCACTAGTGACTACAGCAAACCCAGTGGCATTAGTGCCATCGGGGCGTTTGCTACTAGAGCCATCTACAAACATAGTAATGTCAGGGCTGGCGAATGGTTGATCTTTGAGATCAGCATGAGGCAATACATTTTCTGCTATAACATCCAAACAGCTATGCGGGGATCCCTCAGAGGCATTTGGCATAAGGGTTGAAGGGTTAAGCCCTGTGCAACGTTCTATTTCCAGATGAAGTTGTGACAACAATGTCGTCATGCATGACAAATGTCTGGAGGGAGAGAGATAAGAAATTTTGTTCTGCAGCAAAATAACTGAGACAGCGTGTGTGACACGCAAAACTAGATGATGAAACAAAACCACAGAGGCAGAGGCTTGAACAGCGAGTGAGGCAGCAACAACAGCCTGTACACAGGGAGGCAAAGCCCTAGCCACAGGGTCTAATTTAGAGGAGTAAAATGCTACAGGGCGAGCTCTCTCTCCATACATTTGTGTCAGCACAGAAGACATGAACCCATTTCTGCAATCTACAGTCTGAAAAAAGGATTTAGAGTAGTCAGGAAGCCCTAATACGGATGAGCTGACCAAAAGTTGTTTAATACGAATGAAAGCGTCCTCGGCTTCGGGAGTCCAGAGGAGGCTGTCATGGGCTGCCATGGGGCTAGAGTAGATGAGGTCAGTCAAAGGGGCTACAATCTCAGCATAATTTGCGACCCAACTGCGGCAATAATTAACCTATGCTGAGAAAAGACATCATTTGGCGTTTTGTTTCAGGTTTGGGCACCTGGAGAATAGCACTTTTACGGGCCTTATCTATGTGCCTGCCCTCATGGGAGAGAATTGTGGCTGCCCTCCGCCAAGAAGGGCCACTGTGTCAGTCCAGCATGAGTCCTCATCAGGACTAGCAAGCAAAATATCAACATACAGCAGAATTTGACTTGAGCACGGAGGTGTAAATTTAGCTAAATTGGCAGACATAGCAGACATATAACACTTTTGCAATACCATAGTGGGATACGAGTATAAGTGTACCTTTTGTGTTTGAAAGTAAAAGCAAACTAAAATTGACTATCTTCATGCACAGGAATAGAGAAAAAGACATTACTTACATCAACAACAGTGAAAAACTTGTTTTTCAGGAAGCAAATCATTGAGCAGAGTGTATGGGTCAGGCACCGTCGGTGCTTGAGGAATTACAGCCTTATTTACTGCTTGTAAATCCTGGACCATTCTCCAGCCGGTGGATGGTGGTGTCTTTTTAACAGGAAACAATGGGGTATTACACAGAGAGTCAGGACACTCACTGAGTACTCCAGCTTTTAACAGATCTGCAATGATAGGTTCTATACCAGCCTCAGCTTCTGGCTTAAGTGGATACTGTCTCTGATGTGGTCGGAATGAGGATTTGGGTGTAATAGAAACAGGGGAAATTCCCTTAATAAGGCCTACATCCGCTTTGTTCTTTAACCAAAGCTTTTCAGGGACAGTATGCAGTCTAGCCATTTTGTAATCGGTGAGAGACAAAACATGTCATGGTTCTTGTCCTGCAGAGCTGGCCAAGTGTACACGCGTGTGACCCAGTTTAATTGCATACAGAAAGCGTGTACCTCAAAAGAATGTGGGCCCCAGGCATATATTCTCGCCAACCGATGCAATTTTTGCATGTCGGGTTGCAATGTGCATACTGCGCCACACATTCTTTGGCCGGACCAGTACAATGTGGTCAATGTAATGGTTGTACATTGAGTTTTAAAGAATCGTTCCTCGTATTTAGGGTCACGGCCACTGGTGTGTTTGAAAAACATTGTGCAATGCAAATCATTTGGATTCATATATTCTGCCAATTCATAGCCCATTCCGCGGGCTTTGTCAACTAGGGCCTGGGAGACCGAACTTGGGCCCGTGTTAGCAAGATCTAAAGAATACCAGTAATAGGGAGAAGAATCGTCTTCCAATACCAATACAAGATCTGCACATCGCTGGGCCTGCAGCCCGTCACGGACCGGAATCACAGCGATCTACAGATCAGCCAACATGTCTCTCCCCAAAAGATTAACTGGAATGTCAGGTGAAAGCACAATTTGAGCGTCGCGACTACGTATGCCAGTTCGGGGATCAAATAAACGAACAGGCATAGACAGTCGCGCTTGGTTAACTTTACCATCAGCAGATTTGACATAAATCAAATCATCAGAAATTTGAACATGTGGAACATCGTCAGGATGAATAACTGTACGCGATGCCCCAGTATCACACAAGAAGGTAACTTCTTGACCCTTCACGTCTAGAGTTATTTCGGGCTTTGTTTTTGAACTGAGCAGGAAGGTGTCAACATGCATTAGACAGACAGGCTCATCCTCAGCTCCCTCCCTATCTTTGCTATTGTCATTGGAAATGAAAGAGTCAGTCTGACCTGTTGCCGTCTCTAGTCATGCCGTCCATCCATTGGTCGGGGGATCAATTGACCCACGGTTGCCCTTGCGTTTGTTTTTACAGTAGCGGGCCTGATGTCCCGCCTTACCACACTCCCAGCAGGCGTCCCCACCTGGAGTAGGAGTGGCGGATCTTTCTCGTCCTCCGAAGTAGCCGCGACCCCTTCCGCGTCCACCTCCTTCAGCCTGAAAATAGACTTCCTCACCCTCGTTAGTTTGCAAGACAAATGCAGTTGCTTTTTTGGCTTTCTTTTTCTCTTTGAAATGTCTTTCAGCATGCCTAGCATATTCTAAGGTGTTGTTTAACTGAGCTGAGCGATTATCAATCATGTGTTTAGTAACAAACTGCTTATTGCTGGAGTGCACCTTTAAAGAATGCATTTTTCAACTGCTGTTCATAAGGACTCTCACTGATAGAATTTGGTGGAAAAGGTACTCCACTGTTAATGTCAAAAATCTCTTTGAGTCTACCGAAGTATGCGGCGATTGATTCATCATCCCGTTGGATACAGTGGTTTATTTCTGACCAGTCAGCCATATGAGCAAACTTGGTTTCAATGCGCTCAAGCAGGGCAGCTTGTCTAGTACTTAGAGTGGGGTCCCCATGTGCTAATGGAACACCCTGTCCGTTAAAAGGACTCCAATCTCCGCTAATCAGACACCAGTCCGTTCCCATAATTTGTCTTAACGCGTGCTCATATTCCATGCCATTCAGTCTGTAACTAGTATAGAGATTTGCCATTTTAGTTTTAAAATTTTCCATTTTCATTTTAGGATGGAGAATACCTTCCGTGGCTTTCCTTACATCCTCCTCAGTCCAAGGTCTAAACACAAACATAGTGGGATTGCTGCCGTCAAGATTGGGGTTGGGGTTTGGGACTTCGATCATAGGGTAGGCTTCGGCTATTTCTTTATTTAAATCTCTAACAACAGCACCATCGGGGGAAAACCCAGGAAGATAGCGCGTAAAACTGGGGAGAGAAGTAAAGGATGGAATGAACCGACTGCGCAGCTGTCTTCCGTCCGTTGGAACTAAAGCAGCCAAGGGTGAGGGAGTCACTGGTGCTGGAGGGGCGGACGCGATATCACTTTTACTGTCCTCGTCAGTACGTACAGTCACACCAACACTATAACCAGGTGGTGGGTCAGTCTCCCCGTGACTATTAAGTTGCGGGTAAAGTCTACGTCCAACAGCATTTTCGTCCTCTTTGTCCGTCAGTGTTAACACGTCAATTTTTCTGAGCTCCTTAGCTTTTCTAATACCTTCTGCGCGCTTTTTTGCCTCTACCAACCATTCTTTGGCTGAACTATGACCTTCTCTTACCAACCTTTTTGAACTTCCTTTAGCCCTCTTCTCTATCTCTGATAGCAGATTCTCACATTCTGACATACTCAACCTTCCTTTAAATCCATATTTATTTTTCCATCTTTTAAACCATTTGCGTTATCCTTCTCTTAGAACAAAACTTCACATCACCTGGCAGCCTGTCTGAATTCTTCTGCCTACAGAGTTCTAAGCTTAAGTATAACCATATATGGTGATTCAAGCATTAACATAGAGTATAATACTGAATTTTTCTGACATAAAATATCACTTTAGCAGAAGTAAAAAGTAATATGATATAAAAAAAAAATCTCAGGACAGTAAAAATCCATTAATATTTTACTGAAGTACATGTACTTGAGTAATGTACTTGAGCACATTCACAGTGTGAATGTGTTTTCTTTACACCAGGCAATGAAGTGAGACGTGGTGTGATGTTATTTCCTGAACGATGTAGAACCACTGAACAATTAGATGCACCCAAGTGGCAGGCTGCCACAGTGGTGGAAGGAGAGGAGCCAGAATTTCAAATTGGGCATTATATCATTGTCTTTCAACAACTGTATTATTATAAAAAAAAACAAAAACAAAAAAAAAAACATCAGGCTTTTTGCATTATGCAGCTTAGGATAATAGTAACTAGACATGTTATAGCTAACTCTAGCTTGCTTACATAAACTAACAGCTGACCTAGGTGTGATTCAATGAAACACTTAGTGTAAGAATATAGTATGCGGTGCCTGAACTCAGAGAGTTTACCTTTCTGAAATTGTATATGGACTCTTTTTGGTAAACTGTGGTGTTTTTACACATGGTGATTTATTTACTCCAGTGAGTGTTCCTCTTCAGTGGAATAGTTTATTTTCAGTAGAATATGAAGTTTCTGTGTTGTAAATACTGGGATGTTTTCATTCTCAGTGTACTTACATAACACAAGACTGGAAGCACCTTTAGAGAACAGTGGGTCTGCATTGGATGCAATGGAGATAAAAGATCATTATACATTCACACTTTTAAAGAATATCTTCCTGTTTTCCAATTCTACCACTTATAAGATCTCTAATTGTTCTACTGAAATTATCTGTACAACCAACATGCTGTGCTTAATGTTGAATAAAATGTTATGTCCTCACAGATTTTTATATCTTTTCTTTCCCTCTCCTTTTCACTCTTCAGAATCTTTAACACAAAACAATGGAAACCACAGGCAAAGGTATGTCCAGCTTACTATAATAATAAATCTGATGTGACACTTTTCATGCCAGTTTTGTGGTTTGTTTGCTGCTTGAAGTTATGCACCACATAATACATTTAGTTAACACTTCACTTGAACCCTGCTGAATAACATTGACATACCCATGATTTTCACCAGTGCAAAAAGCCAACATTTTACCCAACTGTAAAAAAAAACCTGAACTTCAAAGTATAAGTGAGCAGAATGTAAAACATCATTATTTTGGGGACTTTCACAGAGCAAAATGAAACCACAAACTGTAAGCTCACTGTTTCCCCTGCCGTCTGTCAGTGCTAACCAGCTTCCTGACAGGCAGGTGCGGCTGGGGGAAGTCACTTCAGACCATCAGCAATGGAGCTCCTCAAGGATGTGGGCTCTCCCCACAGCTCTTCTCTCTCTACACCTGCCACTGCACCTCTAATGACCCATCTGTTAAACTCAAGTTTGCAGATGACCCTACAGTCATAGGACTCATCCCAGATGGTGAAAAGTCTGCATATCGGCAGAAGTCTGAACAGCTGGCGTCTGGTCTGGTCAGAACAACTTGGAGCTGAACACTGTGGAGATGACTGTAGAGTTTAGGAGACCCCCTCAGCACTGTTCCCCCTGACAATGTCCAACAGCCCTGTGTCAACCTTGGAACGCTTCATGTTTCTGGGAACTACCATTCCTCAAGACCTGAAGTGGGAGACCAACATCAACTCTGTCCTCAAAAAGGCCCAGCAGATGAGACACTTTCTATGGCAAATGAGGAAGTTGTTTCTGTTACAGGAACTGTTGAGAGAATTCTACACCAGTCATCAGATTCATCCTGTGCACATCCATCATGGTCTGGTTTGGATAAGCAGAGACAACAAACAATAAAGACAGCTGAAAAATTCATTGGGGTTCCCCTGCCCACCTTCCAGGACTTGTGCTCTTCGAGAACCAGGAAACAGGCTGGAAAAATCATAATAGATTCCTTACACTCTGGACACAACCTTTTCAACTCCTACAGAGCCCTGCACACTAAGACTACCAGACACAGGAACAGTTTCTATCCTCAGGTCATCACACTCATAAACAGCTGACCAGTAATATCATCTGCTGGGCCATAGCTTCTCCTGTTTTCTGTAGAGAGTCAATACACCCTGCTTCACATCTATACCATTGTACACCACGATTTCATTTCCAGCCATGATATACACTACTGTTGTTTGCACTACCGCACACACTTATGTATGTTGCTTGTCACTGTATAATCTTATGTTCTGTGTATAATATGCACATTTTGTGTATATTATTGTCCTCATTTTCTGCTTACTGCTTGTGTACTGTGTATGGTGTATATTGTGTATTGTCCGTAAATTATATGTACATTGTCTGTGTAATGCATATAATACTGGAGAGACACCAGTGGCTGGGACCAAATTCCTTCTGTGTGTCAACATACTTGGCCAATAAATCTGATTCATATTCTGATTCTGAGAAAACACATTCTTGTTCTGGACATGTAGTCACCTTTTAAGGGTTATTTTTACACTGTGCAATTAGTGTATTGACCATCAGTATAAATTAGAGTATCTGTGACACACTGTAAAAAAAAAAAACAAAAAACAACAAAAAAAACAGTCAAAGTACTGTAAAATGTAATAGTTAATACTTGTTTTTTTTAAAAGGTTAAATGCCTGTCAATATAACCATGCATGTACTGTGTTTTAACACTGCTGTTAATTTACAAATTTGAATGTTAATTCACGACAACTTTATTTCACAGAAATTTAGATTTATTTCAGTGGTTATTAATAATATTTTTTGCACTAAAACACTATGCTGGAATAATTAGTTGAAGTAGTGAAAGTGTTGATTTACATTAAAAGACTAAAATTAAATGTCTGTAATTTTACAGATTTATACCGTCTTTGAGAAAACATACCTTTACTATTAATTGGGTTTTGTCTGGCAACCCTGTTGTTGGACATTTTAGTATTTTATAGTCAATATACATAGTCCACTCATGCCAAAACCACCCCCAGTACTAAAACAACACAAATAAATGCTGTAATGATGAATGTAATAATGACTATAATGATAAAGTTTGAGCTAACACCACGTGTGGAACAAACAACAGCTTATAGATAATTTCATTATTATGAAAAATTTATTCCTTGCCCCATTATGCATTGAGTGATTTCTAGTCAGAACCTCCAGCGAAGCGTAAACAGACAATATGTTGAATGCTTAGAACATCCTAACATGACAGAAATGCGGAAATAAAGTAAAAATATCAATAATCTGTTTTGTTAGGATGCTCAAATACTTGTGTATCAATGTTTTTAGCTTACTCGATCTGTGATCAGAAACCTGGACTTGTCTGAGATGAACCCTTTTAGAGGATCTTATTTATAGCCACACCGATTGTTCATGCTAACAATCAAACTTTTTAACCCCTCAAAAACCCAGGCTTATTACATACTAAAGCTTATTATTCAGTAACTTCAGGGACTTCAATGTAAACTGGCTGAGCTATTCTTAGCTATATTCCTGGCCATTTAAGGGGTTACTAGAGAGTCATACAGGAAATATAGAAAACCATAAAGCAATGCAGATACACAGAAATATCTAATGTAGATTTTTTTTTTATGCCAACGCTTTGATAATTCTCCTTGTATATTCACCATAGCAGTTAACCCAGCTTTGTTAGCATCAAACTAGTGGGGTTAGCTTGGTGCTATATGGGATTTTTATGTTAGCTTTAGTTTAAATACAGACATTTAAAGCTTATAACAGGCATGTAAGTAACATTTATGCTTTGAATGTCTCACATTTTAAGTAAAGCTTTATTTAAAGGCTTGAACTTTTAATGGGACAAAACAGTAACTTAAAAAGTAAGCACAATTTCTTTGACTTTGCTAAAGAGACACTTCTGTTCTCTAACTGGATATTTCAGCCATTATCTCTAAACACTGTGGTCAAATGAAAAATGATTATGACATGTTTATGACATGTTCCTACCCAGTTTTTGACAGCCTCATAATACTTATCATGAGATTTGTCAACAAAGCATCTGATTACAGCAGCAATGTAATTTCTAAGATATCATAAACTGCATGTCATGTTGTGTCACAAAGCACAAAACATATTGTTCCGCACTGTATACATATGTGACATAACGTATTTTGACAGACAACGTGTGACATTTGACATTCCATTACACATTCATGGCATGGTTATGTCCGTGTTTTCTAGCAGGAGTTCAGTAAATGGTTAATGACTTTCTATGATCGACTTCTATATGGGTCTTCTGTTCATTAGGAAACTAACCTTAAAACTTACCTTAGATAAATATGCAGACAAGCACAGTACAGTATATATTAGGGACAAAAAACTGTAATAATATATATGTGTTTTTGTGTTTTCCTCACAGATGAGTTTCAACTTGTGACCCCCTGTGACCAAATAGAGTCCCTTGGCCCAAATGTCACAGTACCCTGTCATCTGTCCCCTGAAATCAGTGCTGTTGCCATGGAGATCAGGTGGTTTAAGGGCACAGACTGTGTTTGCCTCTATAAGAACAGGCATGTGACAGAGGGGAGGGGCTACAAGGGCAGAGTGAGTCTGTTCAAGGAGGAGCTAAAAAAAGGAGACGTGTCTTTACAACTGAGACAGTGTGAAGAGCAGGATACAGGACATTACCTGTGTCAGGTCATCAGTGGCTTCAGAACAGAAGAGCTAACAGTAGCAGTACAGAGTAAGTGTTTTAGATCTCCAACAGCATCAGTCAAATCGGACCAGGTCATCAGATTACTTAGTCATACATATACAGAGGTCACCAACAGATGACATGCTACTGAAGCCACCACTCCAGCAGCTCATACTCCCCAGAAGTTAATGTCGCCCATGGACTTGCATTGATTCAGTCAGATGTGTAACAGAATCAGAGGTATTTTTGTTTTCTAGATAGAAAGACATCTGATTTTTCTTCATATAATGTAGTTTTATTTTAAAAATCTCACAAAACCTGGTTATACAGCATCACATTACAAATCCAAAGTTATCTAGCATTATACGACTATTGTGATCTGCAACTACAAAAACAACATAACCAGGTATTAGGAATAACATGGCTTGTAATAATGCAAAATGACTCACCAGCAACGGTCACTGCTCAAAAAGAAAAGATGCACGACGATATTTCATCTGGGCAAATTTGTCAAAAACTTTTCTCTCAAAGTCCACCAATCAATGAATGAATTCAATTGATAGCAAAGCAAGTGAAGGCAAGGAAAGCAGAAGAGTGTTTTTAGCTACACAGTTAGCCATGTTTTTCTCTTGAACCTCTCTGGATTAAAGAAGCAGTTTTTGTCCTTTCTAGACTGAATGTTCTTGAAATCCTCTGGCTGGTGTGATCCCAAATGTTTAATCTCTAATTTCTGCTATAATAATGGCAGGGACCACATTTAACTTTTATTACATTTTTTTAATTAAATTTATGTTTTATTGGCTGCTCTCAGCTAGTTGTGGAAAGCGTGTTGAACATGCCAGTGTTTTTTAACTGCACACTGGGTTAGATGAATGCTGACGGGCCCCATGCTCACCAAACGAAGACTGCTAGGAGAAATAGGTAGGCTACTGGCATTTCCACAGCAGGTACAGGAAGATATTTGGAATGTATCGGACAATACTACCATTGTCATATGTAATAAACGTGTGACAATGTTTGTTAAGAGGGGAAAAATATATATATTTGTTGTAATACTGAATTATTGATCATGTCGTTCCACAGCAACATCTGGTGGAAGATGACCCTGTATGTTAGTGCATGCTATTTATTTAGTTTATATTTTGCAGTCTTTTAGTCAGTCTTTTGCTAAACATTTCAATCTAAAGCCAAACTCAATGTTACTGGAGGAGCCTGTTAGCTAAGTGAATTGTTGCTCTTTCCTAGGACATATTCTAAACTACACACATCTTAATCAAATACCAGATTAAATAAACAAATACTGAGATGTTCAATAAAGTGCATATATTTACATAACCATGTCCATCTTTACGAAATAATGAAACAGATTAGGCCATGATAAGTTGCTATGTTTGTAATGGTTTAAGCAAGAATGTTTGACTTTGACTCAGATCCTTATAACCACAGCACATGTTGGCATTTAAATGTGGTATCCAAGTGGTTTCACATGACACGTATAGAATTATGTAATCAGCTAAAGGTCTCTTGCATGTATATCTATGGTTTGAGTAGATCACAGATGAAAAAACATTTTCCTTAAGTGTGGTAAATATACATACATTGAAGCTAAATTTTCTCAGTTAATACAAAACTAATGTTGAAAATGCTGAAGGGTCATTGTAGTTAGATATGTATAGTTCATTCAACATATTAAAGAAATATAAAATGCAGGACAACAGTCATCACACTGCACAGAGTTCTGGTTTAGAAGGGTGAGAACCCCATTGCAACACCAACATCATCAGATTTCACAAAGCCAAGCAGACTAAAAGTCCCTCATAGCAGAACTGAAACCTTAATTCCAGCTTGTCTGGACTTGAGTGTCGCTTGATTTTTGTGGTTGCCACTGCTGCCTATGCAGACTTTTAACAGTCTTTGACTTGCAGTTCTGCAGTTAATATAGGATCATCATTCCTCACCACAAGGACTGCTCTCATGCAAAAATAATTAAGGGCTGTTGAATGATTAAAACGTTTATTTGCAATTAATCATTTTATTTTATCTTATTTGCTCAAATTTGTAATTAAAGATTGTTTTGCTTTTCCATTTTAAAAGCAGCATGCTTTGTTATAGTTTTATGAGTGGACACAGTAAGCTCAATCAGAATTATTTATTGACAAAAAACTCATGTACATGTATGAACATATGAAAATTTACATTTCTAATTTTCATCATCCAGTGCAACAGTGGCTACATGTTCCAACCAATTAGTGTATATATCATACTAACAATTGTATGCAAAAGTGTGACCTGGTAAAATTACATGAGTTACATAATTAACACCTGCTCTACACTTCTGCACATTTTAATACACAGTTGCTGTTCATTTGCTAAATTTAACATGCTGGGGAACAAAAATAAAAATTGTGGCCTGTGCAAAGGTTGGCAGTTTTTTATTTACTTTAAATATGTAAACTCTTTTTCCAATATGCTACATTTCTAAATAATTAGAAATTGTTCACTGAGATTAGCAGGAAAATGTCACATTTAAGTGTGATCTCTTCATTTAGAAAATCAATGATTGGATCAATGTGATTGGACCAGAAGGTTCTCCATTTGCTTTCTCTTCACACGTTTTACATGTTTGTTTTTACACAGCGCTCAGTGATGAGTTCAACCTGATACATAAACTGGTGAAGGTGAGTAATGCATTATAAAGAATGACCCCTCATAATGACAGTGTTTTCTGACCTGGTCCAAAAAGTTTTAAATCTGCCATTCGGGGGAATTTTAGCATTTAGTGATTCTTAAGTAGGATGAAATTGGATGAATTTGAACTAAAGTTAGACTAAAATCAGAAATAAACTTCATTCATTTATTCATTCATTCATCTTGAAACAATCAGCCTCCATGATTCCTGTCCACAGGTGGAGGGAGCCTGGACTGAAGAGGAGAGAATGAAAATGGAGGAATCTGTTCTGCTGACTGGTGTGTCACTTTGTCTACAACTTAGTAGACTCTTTCTTCAAGGAATCATATTTGTAAATGAGCTGTGCGAGTATAAAGAACCTTATCAGAGTCTGAAGAACCTCCACATAATGTCAAGGTTCTGAGTCAATTACATTTTTTATAGAACTGTACAAAGCAAGAACCCTTTATTTTAAAAAGTGTAGCCTTGTAAATAGAACAAAAGTATTGTTTTCATTATTCATTTCTGATTATGTTTAATATTTTCAGAGTTTAAGGCGAGTAACATGCTCGAGCTCTTCAGAAGATTTAACGAGGAAAGAATTCAAGAGCGAGAAAAACTGCTACAGCAGCTGAAGGAGGCCAGGATGGACTGGGACAAGGCTTTAAAAGAACTGAAAACTACAGAAGCTCAGTTACAAGGGATTGGAATAATGCTAGAGGACAGAGGTAAGGTTAATGTGAAAGAGACAAGAAACTATTTTTGTACATCTCTACACTGTAAAAAGTGGTTCATCACCTAAAAATACTTAATGTGGTAACAAGCACTTGCACTCATTTTGTTCCACTCAAAAATTACTTCAATTGAATCATTTTTTCAAAGTATTTATTTAGGTTGAATAAAACCAGTTCATATAGATATGATTACATGGATTATGAGTACTAAAGGTACTGAAGATGTACCCATGAGGGTACAACCCCAGTGACAGTTCAGCACCTGTTTTGAGAGTGCACCTTGACATATATTATTTGCATGTCTGTCTTATTAGGACAGTCTGTCTTAGTAGGACAATGTAAGAAGAATATATGCAGAAGTATGAATCCATGCAAAAACCACTTTAATAACAATGTAATAATAATGTAATAATGTGTTATTATAGCACAAAAGATGTGTGATTTTGAGGGTAAGATGGAGAGACTCAAACAACTTGATCTACAGACTACTGGTGAGTAAACAAATAAATAAATAAATTGATTAATTAACTAATTAATTAATGGGATATATTTGCTGTTATATTTATGCTGCAATATTTCAGAAACCATGGACACATCAGATCTAGTCACTTCATGCCAGAAAAGATACAGTGGACATATACCTCCAAACAGTAAGCTAAAGTATGATTATGCTGTTTGCGGCTTGCTTGTGTGAACCTTAAACCTTGACCATAATTTTCTTTTTTAATGGATATGGAATCTATTACAGCCTCTCCAGTGTCAGTTACTATAGCTGGTGCTGCTGGGAAGAACTGGATTTGGGAAGAGTGAGCTAGGAACTCTACTTTTACTTGTACTATACATATACTACACTTATTCTTTACTCTGTACCGAATTGTCTCAGTATATTGGCAGATAATTTATTGTAATTAAGTGACTTAAGCAAAACATGCCTGCAGAGAAGTTAAACAAACATGTAATATTCATACAATCACCTGAAAATCTGAAATATCAGAAATATCAAGTACATATAAGATTGTTTCACTTGCCAGGATATTATTTTTTGCAGTGCACATAGATGGAGATCAGAGCAGAATGCAGTAAAAGCAGACACACGCTTTATAAAGTCTATCCTGCCTGAGCTCCAAAGTTTTCAGGCTCTTGTGACAAAGCAATGAAAAGATGTCAATAGCAGGTTAAATAAAAGAGAGAAACATAACAAAGATCAACTAGAGAACAGCAGTGAGGTAGAAGAAAAGAAAAACAAAGAACTTAATGGTTTAGAACTTGATGGTCTAGAAATGAACTAAACCAGCAAAACTCCTGATTGTATTACAGTAACTTTTCTGTAATATAATACTGTTGGACTGTTGTACAAGTATGTATTTCTGCAAATATAGTCTTTGTCTCCTCCATGGCTCTTTATTATTCTTTATTCTTTATTCTATTTGTGTTTATATTTGAATTTTTCCTTAGTTAAATACTTCAGTCTATGTGTTTGTCTGGTCTGCTCAGTATGTTACATGTCATATTTGTGTGCACTCAGCATGGCAAATTCCTTGTATGTGTAACATACTTGGCAAAATAAAGTGATTCTCATTAAACAGAAAGATGCTGCATTAAAACGAACATACAAAGACAATAAAGAACAAAAATAAAACAATCGATAAGAAGAATGAACTGCTGAGAGAGAAAGAGACTCTACTGGAGATCACAGTGAAAACTGGAAAGCAGTAATAAGCAGCTGGAAACAGTTAGAAAGGACCTGCAGGGCAGGAGCAGCACAGAAAACAGACAACTGAACTGAATGAAAAACACAAACAGCTTGAAGAGAAAAAGATTTTTCTCTTTTTTGATAAAAGAAAGACATCATTTCTAGCTATGTAAGACCAGTAGCTTTCAAAGAAAAGATGATGATGAAACATAAACTCATGGGATGTTTCAGGAAAGAGGGTGTTTAACAGTGCAGGTATTTGTATACTGTAAAAGGGTTCTCTATTAATGTCTATGACTGATTACAGTTACTGTGTACTAACTGTGGCTTCTCAAGAATTTGTTCTAACTGGTTCTGATGTCCTACAGTGAGTGAAGAGACTCCAGAGTCATCAGTGCCAGTCAGGAGAAAAAACAGCATGGATAAACCTCTGAAAGTGAGTAGTTTTCCTTGCTTTTCATCCAAACAAAGGCTAAGTTTTAAAAGGATTAGATGTGTGCACATCCACTGCCTGTGGACAAACAAATGTTGGAAGCAAACATTTATTTTAAAAAATTTGACTATGCTAGTCAAAGTTTGACTTTTTTGCTTAAGACACAATCCCAGAACATAAAAAAAGATTTTTTCATAAAAAAAGGAATTGTCATTTCTATCTTTGTAAGGCCAGCAGCGTTCAAAGCAAAGAAAATACTGAAGTGAAATGAAGTGACATTTTATAGATTCATAGTCAGGGGCCATTTTAGCCAAAGCACATTTAACACTGCAACTTGGATAAAGTTTTCATCTAGGCAAACCAAATTTGAAGGGAAAAAATAGTTCTTATTGTTGTTTGATAAAAATATTCAGTTGATCACTCTTAATATTTGCAATGCAATTTTACCTTTGTAAGGCAATAACCATTCAAAGAGAAGAAACTGTTGAAAGGAATTTAGTAACATTTGATGGATTCATAAACACGAAGGACATTTTAGAACCCAGAACATGTTTAACTTAAAACTAACAGATATTTGGATAGAGTGCAGTGAAAGTTCTTCTGTGATTGTCTATTATAGATCACAGTTACTGTCTACTAACTATGGCCACTGAAGAATTCTTGCTATGTTCTACCTGGTTATGTACACAGGGTGCAGAGATTCCAGACTCATCAGTGCCAGTCAGGGGAAATCGCAGCAAAGAGTTTGATTCTCCTAAGAGTGAGGAGTTTTACTAGATTCTCATTAAAACAAAAGCTAAGTTTTAAAAAGATTAGATTTAGGCACATGCCTAAATACTGCCTGCAGCCAAACAAATGTGGAAGCAAACATTGATAGTTATTTTTTATTTGAGTTTATAATAACTATAAATGTTTGAGATATATATATATATATATATATATATATATATATATATATATATATATACATAAATTAGAAAGGAGATGTCATTTCTAACTTTGAGGCTAATGACTAATTCTGTAATTTATTAATCAGTCCATATTGGACTTTTAATTTCAACAAATTAAATTGCATTATTTCCCCTTTTGCACAGGGCTGTTCTACACATAAAACAACTACCCTGTCTATAAGTCATATTTGCACAAAAACAAACACTTTTATCAGCGCATAGCAAGAGATCTTCTGCACTGCCCTAAAAACAGCTATTGTAATCAATGTGAAAGGTGCAGAAACAGCAAAGGAACAACACCATACACAATTTTTACATGGCAATCTAAGTCCTTTTTATGATGGCAAGTTGTTTCTACAATAGCTTGCCATGCACTGCTATTCAAATATTTCTCCTCTCATAATAAAGCAAAGCTTAATTGATTAGTTTCTGTGTGGTATCACCTTGAAACTAAATTGGATATTAAACAAACCACACAGAAACTGATTATCAGTATTTGCAAACTTGGTTACTCAGTCTAAATAAAATATTACAGATTTAAAAAAAACAAAGCAAAAAAAAAATATGTCAATCGAGCAGTATAATGGTTCAGATCAGAAAAAAAAACTAGGCACAGTGAGGCAGGGACGGTTTTCATTACCGGTGCCGGTAATGCCGTCAGAAACAGCCAATCTGCGCAAAAAGGCAGAGTGGCCACTTGTCCAATCAGCCTTTCATATTTCAGCATAAACACTGTTTATAGTGATATGTGTGGCTGGTTCATGTTCATGATTGGCTAATATTAGAGAAAATCTGATGAAATATAGATCATACAGCGCTGTCAAATGTATTGCACAGTGTGGTATGTATTGGGTAGCGACAATGCGACAAGGTGGCTGCAGTTTTCAGAGCCAGGGGCTGCAGTTCCTCTCCACACATGAGCCAAGAGATAGTTTGATTAATCTGTATCGGCTAAAAGCCCTGACAACAACCATTTAGACACGTGTTAAATAGAGCACATAGCCTATTAAAATGTACAATGTTTGTGGTTATTATTTTGACAAAGACATTACAAATCTGATATGTGGACACCATGTCAGCTTACATGGGGTGTCCGGCTTGATCTCAACCCCTCCCCCAACTGCAACTGCCTACTTTCGCAGCAAGGTGCAGTTCATCGCGAACAAGCCCAATGATTATTGCTTCATGCAGTTTCACTACAGTAATACATTTTATATGAAATGACTCATTCTCTTTTACTTCCAGTTGGTGGAGAATCTACGGCATCATCTCCAGAGTCAGTTCCTGTATCAGAGCTCAGGCTGGTGCTGCTGGGGAGGACTGGATGTGGGAAGACAGCAGCAGGAAACACCATCCTGGGCAGAGAGGAGAGGAGCCAGGCTGGAGCGTCTACAGTGAGGCAGCAGAGTGAGAGCAAACAGGGGGAGGTCGCTGGGAGGCAGGTGACTGTGGTGGACACTTCTGACTGGTTCTGTCCTGGACTCTCTCTGGACGAGCTGAGACAGGACGTGGGACTCTGTGTCCGTCTGTCTGCCCCAGGACCCCACGCCTTCCTCCTAGTCATACCAGTGAAGCAGTCTACAGGAGAGGAGAGAGGCATGCTGGAGAAAATGGAGGAGATTTTTGGAGAGAGATGTTGGAGGAACACCATGATCCTTTTCACTGTTACTGATGAAGTCCAAGAGAAGAACATTGAAGAGTTTATCCAGTCAGGAAACCAGGAGGTCCAGAGACTTGTAGAGAAATGTAGGAACAGGTTTCACTGTCTCAGCATTAAGGAGAGTGGAGATGGTTCTCAAATCTCAGAGCTGCTGGAGAAGATAGACAAGATGGTTGCAGGAAATGAAGAGGGTTTCTACAGCAGTGATATCTACCACGAGATCAGGGAAATGGAAAAAAGAATTATCAAAGAAAGAGAAGAGAATAATAAGAGAGAGATTAGAAAATTTAAGGAGAAACAAGAGAAGGAAATCCAGGATGCTTTGAAGAGGCTAACAGAACAAATCCAGGAGCTTGAGAAGAGACTCCAGCAACATGAGGAACGAAAAACTGAACTTGAGAGTTTACTAAAAGAGGAGAGAAATGATGAGACGAAAAGAGAGCTGGAGATGAAACTGCAGAGAGAGATTCAGCCGAAAGAGGAGATTCAACAGCAGTTGAAAGAACTGAAGGAAAAGTGGGACAAAATGAAAAGTGAGATAGAGGAGAGACACAGACAGGAGATGGCAGACATCATAGCAATGTATGAAGGAAAAGCCAGGATGGAGGCAGAGAGAAACCTCATGAATATCATCCTGCCTGAACTCCACCGTACGGTCTGGGTTCTCATCTCAAAGATGCAGAAACAATTCCTGGTGAAGGTGGAGCAAAAGGATCGAGAGCTGTTGACCCTGAAACAAAGACTGTCTGAGCTCACAGAGACTTACAGACAACTGGAAATAGATTATCAGGCTCTGAGGAGCACAGAAAGCACGGAAGCAGGAAGAGGCGAAGAGAGAGTGAGTGCAGCGGCAGTTGGAGGGGATGGAGGAGTAGAGGAAACTCAAGATGAAGTGGAAAGATTGTCCGAAGCAGGACAAGTTGATGGAGATGAGAAAGGAAGTGAAGAAGAGAGGAGAGGGGACAAAGACAGAGGTGAGGCTGAGAAGACAGAGGCTGGTGAAGAAGAGGAGAACAGACCTGATGGCCAGGAGGAATCCAGAGGGCGGATACGTCGAATCTTCTGCTGTTGTTTTCCTCCAGTGTATGAACCTGTAGAGATGCAGCAAATGTAAAAATGAACTAAAGGGTAACACTTTACATTAAAGGTACAGGACCTGCCAGTAATAAGGCATTTACTAATGAATAATTAATCAGAAAGTAATGTGTCATTAATCAGGAACAAGTTCATATGTCATATATTAACAACCTTAAGATTTAATTACTCAGCATTAACTAATACATGTATTAGTGAATTGAGAAAGGCTTTCTTCAAAATCAGGAATTCATGTGTTAATTGAGCATGCAAACAGCAGGCTAGTACACATTGGCCTACTGCTTGAAGCTCTGTTAGTTTCATCCTGTTCATGCAATTTATATGATGACCTATGCTGTACTGCGATGTCATACTGTTGCAACATAAACATAAACTCTTGTGTTTAATTAGTTTATTTGTTGAAAATAGCTAATTTGTTTGAATTAAAACTGTGAATTATCTTAATATATACTACCGTTATTATGAAAAATACACACCACCTTTAGAAAAATAAAAATGTGTTTCCTAGTTACGTCTGTTATTCTTTTTACAAAGTACTTTTATCTAATTTTTTTAGTAATGGAAATAGCATTATGGAACAAAGCTCTTCAACTGTTTCCGCAGCTGGAAATTTTTCTTTGTGAGATGGTGGCAATAATTGTGGTAATTGCTATATTTGAGGCAACCCTAGAGTCTTGAGTGAATACCTCTATCTTTCTTTCTTTTATAGGTGAGTTATGCTTACGTGTACTGGATTATATACACAATTAACATTGCAGATGTAATGTTTACACATGGTATTGCTTAGTTGTCTGAAGGCTGTGAGTGTTTGCTAGTTTGTATTTTAGTGCCTCACATCTTTTCAGACTACGTCTCGTTTCAGACGCGATCTTCAACTTGTGTGAGCTCTTTGGGAACACTGCATGCTACAGTATGAATATCTTTGTGATGTCAATTAGCAGATCGGCCCGTTTTACAGATGTTTGTGGAACAACAGAACCAGTATTGGGTCCTCTACAATTTTCCTGTGCTACACTGACATATTCACATATCCTGGTTCTGTGATTGTGTAAAAGTCCTAAGATGCTAATGTTTTTTTTTGTTTTTTTTATTGCCATGAATTTTGCCAATGTCCTGTTTTTATATGAGCTGTACTGTACTTATCATTTGTCATTGTTCTTGGAGAGGCAAAAGAATGACCCCTACTAGCTATTCAGTTCACTTTTAATCAGTAATAAAGTGTTCATCACTTTGCTTTAGGGGGCACAAACATTATGAATTCATCATGAATAATCAGTAATTTGTGCTTTCCTTATAATGAATTGAGACATGCTACACCTCAACCAGCACAATGGGAGCTTGTAAATTAGCAATGAACCATTTTTTAATAAAGAGTCATGATTACTTCCAGTTTAAGCGTTAGCAGGGTAAAACCCCCTAGCGCTCCATATAACTACTGCAGAAGCCATGTAAAATTTTATAGTAGTGTAGCATAATGCTCCAACACTGGGCTGCAACAGCCAGATTTTAGTTTTCCTGCACTGTCGTGACAAACAGTGAGAATAAGATGTGGATAGAAGCACTGATTTAACTTTAAACAGAGCTAAAATGCTGTATGTGTGGTGTAGCCCTGTTTACTGCTGTTGCAGCTGCCTCACATCACACGGTCACTGTGGACAACATGCCAGTGGTTTCTGTAATATTTGTATTTTAAAAAGAAAGAACCTTTCCACGTAGTATGAATTTGATAGACTGTATTTACATTAAGCAAGCTACGCTGCCTAGAAGCCGTTGCTAACAGTAGCTATTATGCCAAACTAGATTACCTGATTAACGTAAAGCAGCTTTCTGAATCACCACCATTCCTTTTTCTCCTCCTGTAAATGTTTGTTTTGCAATGTGTTCAAGTGAATCAAGACAACTTATTCAAACTTAGCCTGGTCACATTGACACATACTGGGAACATGAACAAATGTTTTTGTTACCGTGATCTTCATAGTTTGTTATATATTTTCAGTTTACTTCTTTTTACCAGAGTAAAATGCAGAAAATGTGATATCTCTGCTTTTTACACGTCTATATATTAAAAGTAGATGAAAAATGATATGGGCATTTGGAATTTTCCAGCTATGTCACTTACGTAGAATCCCACAGGCATGCAAATTATGAAGACTGAAATGTTACAAACAGATTTCTAAAGATGTTGTTCTCCATCAGCACACCTTCAGCTTCCTAAAAGAAGTAGTTCACCATATTCTGCACAGCTTTAGGCATCCTGCAGTCTTGGCCATCCTATAATCATGAAAGTTGCAGAATCTTCAAGTCACAGAAAATTTACTGACATCTCTTGCACTTGATAATGTTTGTGTTCATTAGTATACCATAAGAAACAACCCTGTGTGGTGTGCATGGGAGGTAGCAAGACCAGCTGGATGTTCCACAGCATTATTGGCAATTCTTCATTTGTTTGATACATTGAACAAGTATACAGAATGTTGTGTTTGGAGAAAACATGCCAACACCAAAATCTCATCCTAGCTGTGAAGCGTGGTGGAGCGAGTGTAATGGTGCGGAGTAGCTTTGCTGCTTCAGGGCCTGGATGGCTTGCAATCACTGAATGACCAGTGAGTTTCAGGTCATGCCCAAATGTTCTACAATTGAAAGTCAGGGCATCTGTGATCTAAAACTCAAAGGACGTTCATCACAGACATTAAACATTAACAACAGAGTAGCTCAGACAGGAGAAATGCTTTACTTATTTTAGAATGGCCACTCAGTCCCATTGAAATGCTTTAAGTAACTGTAGCTCACATTACATACATTTTACAACATCAGTCGACAAGTTATTAATTCACTGCAATATCAATAATTTGTACCATACATACTGGGACAGTGTAGCCAAAAATGTATTCTTGCTGTATACTCAAACTCATTGGGTTGAACTTGGATTTATGACTATGAAAGAAGAAAAACACAACAACAACAAACAGAACAAACCTATTATTTCTGACTGTTTTCATCATCTGTTTTATACTGTTTTGGAATTCCATCACTTTTCATAAGAAGACCAATTTAAGAATCAAACTCAAATTAAAGTGATGGCACATTTATAGTGATAGTTCTGTTCACTTACATTGGAAGTGTCAAGACAGCATGCTCTGAAATTCCACACACATATCCATACATAATTACTCCCACTTTTTTGTCCTTAATCCACACTTCTGAAGTACTGCAAAAGCTTTATTTCAACTTCAGTCCTCCAACTTTGTAATGATGCACTGTAATAAATTTGGTATTATGTGATTCACAGGTAAAATACAGAGGCGATATAATCAGGAATAAGGGTGGAGCTTGTATCACAAACTAAATTTAACTTATGTTTCAGCTTTACAGCCCAAACTAAGTTAACAATGTTTAACTCATTTAATAACAGTGGTTGATTACTTTCTCTTTCAACCCAGTTTACGTACTCAAGCTGTCAATTATTCCCACTTATCTGCATGTAAGTTGCCCTGGCAATGCATCTTAGCACAAAGTGTCACTATCTAGTTTCTCCTTCACTTCTTTGTCTTCCTGTGGCCTTTTTTCTTTCCATCTTCATTCTGCTCTCCATTGCTCTGATATGAGATTCTGTCTTCAGGTAGATCTCACTACTATAGAACTTCTCTCTATTTCCTTCCACCATCTTCTCTATCTTCTCCAGCAGCTCTGAGACCTGAGAACCACCTCCACTCTCCTTAATGTTGAGACAGTGAAACCTGTTCCCACATTTCTCTACAAGTCTCTGGACCTCATGCTCTTCAATGTCCTTCTCTCGGACTTCAGTAAAGGTAAAAAGGATCATGGTGTTCCTCCAACATCTCTCTCCAAAAATCTCCTCCATTTTCTCCAGCATGCCTCTCTCCTCTCCTGTAGACTGCTTCACTGGTACGACTAGGAGGAAGGCGTGGGGTCCTGGGGCAGACAGACGCACACAGAGTCCCACGTCCTGTCTCAGCTCCTCCAGAGAGAGTCCAGGACAGAACCAGTCAGGAGTGTCCACCACAGTCACCTGTCTCCCAGCCACCTCCGCCTGTCTGCTCTCACTCTGCTGCCTCACTGTAGACGCTCCAGCCTGGCTCCTCTCCTCTCTGCCCAGGATGGTGTTTCCTGCTGCTGTCTTCCCACATCCAGTCCTCCCCAGCAGCACCAGCCTGAGTTCTGCTACAGGAACTGACAGTGGAGAGGCCAAACTAGAGGATTCTCCACTCACTGGGAGCAAAGAATGAGTTATTTTAATTGATCTGTTTAAGAGGTGACAGAATTCTGTTTATCCAACAGCAAAAAGTGTGATCGTAATATGTCCTTTAATAACAATCTAAACCCATAATGACAAATTAATTCTGTGTGTTTATGGCTCGGCGTTAAATATGTTCGCATGAATGCTAAGCGAACCAGAACTAAAATGCAATATTGTATCTTTTTCTGCTTTGGGCCGAACCATTCTTATATATATATATTTAAGAATGACAAACTGCATCAAGGACGGGTCTTGGAGCTAGCTGAGTGTTGATAAGAGGGTATGGTGAGAGAAGGAGGTGAGACATGATATTATGGGATAATATTATCTTCTCCACACAATAGTTCATGGTAAACTAAAAGGCAGGCAAAGGTCATAATATTACAGGAGAATTTGACTTTTAAATGATATGATAAATGGGGCAGTAATGACACTGTTGCTGTAATACTTAACTGAACCTTTCAAATCAGTCTAACTGGAAGCCTTTTGACGTTATGTTCTGGGAAACAGTATCTGTAGAGTGAATTGCCAAAAAAAATAAAGCTATACTCACCTCTTTTAAGTCTTATGATTTCTTGTTTGAATTGGATCATTTTGTCCTCAGGGCTTTCCATCTCCTGCAATAATGATGAATACAGTCAAATGGACCTGCTTAGGTTTTTTTGTTTTTATAAAGCAAAGTTGTAGGAGTGAGTGCATTATGTTACTTTTTATTATTATTATTATTATTATATGTGTACAAGGTATTACTAAAACTGCCAGAAGAGTGAAGCTGTGAAGTTCAAATTCATGTGCATGTGTTTGGACTATGCAATTTTAGGCCATATATATCATGATCTTCTATAAGATCAGAAAGTGGATTAATTCAAAAGAGGAATAGAGGCTAATATTGTATGACTCTCTTTAATCAAGAATTACCTTGAACTTCAGCCACTCTGTAATCTTTATTAATGCTTCTTTATTCTTAGCGCAGTTTAATAATCCTTTATCTTCATGGAACAGACACTCCGCGGTGACTGTGTTCTCTCTGGTTATGAACTGGCTGCTGTGTGCCACAATGCTTTCTGGATCAAATGTGTGATGCAGTGCCAGTAGAATAACCGGCATGATGTCTAAGACAAAGCATAAAGCAGAAAGTAAGCACACACAGATTTTAAAAATTGTCTACAGATAAAAAGAAAAAAAGAAAGAAAAAAAGGCAGCTGTCCTTATTATTCTACTAAAATGTCATGATGGTCCAAAATGCTATTATAATAATATATCAATTCATTTCCATTAAAAGTTTTCTCGTCAAGTTACCATACAAGGTTTTGTCAAAACAGTGACTTTACTTTAATCTTCAATGAGGATTTAAAATAACTACACACTTAAAAAGGTAATTCTTCTCAGGTTATTTAGTAAAGGGAATGGTTCTATGTAGAACCAAGCATGGTGAAATGGTTCTTCAGATTGCTGGAGAATGTGTTGTATATGGTTTTATAGCACCAAAAGGGTTCTTCTATTGTTATATTTTGCAAGCTTGTAACAGTAGAACACTTTTTGGTGCTAAATAAAATCATTTTCAAAAAGGTTCTATATAGAACCCCATTTAACACATTCTCCTCAGTCTGAAGAACCATGCAAAGAACCATTTAAGCATGAAATGCTTCTGCACAGAACTCATGGTTCTAAATACAACCATTGCCTTTACTAAAGAACCCCTGAAAAGGCATCTGTTTTAAGTGTGATATGTAAAATGAAAAGGTAGTTGATTTCTCACCCACACTGCCAGTGCTGTTATTCTTTGTCCTATCATGTTTTATGACTTTGATATGTAGTTACCTGGAATTTCATGGATCTTTTTCAGTGCTGCTTTAATGTCGCTTTCAACACGTGAAATAATAGGACAGAAAACCAGAATGACATCAGATTCCTCCACTGTAAACACCTCCTTCAGTTGCATTTCAGTATGTAGGATCCTCTTGATGGCCTCATCAGCTTCTAGTGTTTCTCCAGTCACAACAGTGAAATAATGAACCACTGTAAAAATCAAAAAAGCATTTGTTTTGCTGTCATCAACACCAAGTCTAATTTGACCTTAACACCCCCTTTACATCACATAGAAAGGTAATTACAACACATGCATGTGAGCACAATGTGTGATAAACTTAAACAATCAGGCAACTTACCACTGTTCATGGTTGTATCACTTTCTGCTGGCTCAGTCTACAGACGGAGAAAGAATGTGGGTCACACAAAAAGAGCATTATGCGTGCTTACACTGGATCTATATCTATTCTCCACGGAGAAGAACCACAGACTAGCTTGCTTGCATTAGCAATGGTCACGGTATTCACATTTAAGCCAGGATTTCTACCACAGAAGTCATCTTTCCTCCAGACCAAAATATGAGATACTATCATTTTATATCTAACCTAAATATCTATTAATTAGACACTGATTGGTCTTGTCATTTTTGTAAGAATATTATACGATTATTCAATTTAATTCCATATCTTTTTACTTGTTTTAAGTTATTTTATCCTTATCCTTTTTGCTTATTTCAAGAAAGAATGTTTGAAACAAGAAAACATATTTGCCAAGAGAATAGTACACTTTCAGTGGATACAATAACTTTAAGTACAAAAATGTCTATTAATGAGTTAATCTTATTATATTACCAAAGTCACATTTTTAGCGATACTTTATATTTATTGACTAGATTTAAGATGATTTTCTGATTCTCCTAAAGAACAAGACCCAAATAATAACAATAACAGTTAAGAAAAATACACAAACATGATGTGAAAATCATATTTCTTTTTCTGCATCTGCAGCTCTATCTTCAGTCTCTCTGCTCATTCAGCTGCTGAGCAAGTGGATAAAAGAGACCTGATCTATTTGCTCATGCAGCACCTTTGTATGCTGCATTTTCTGGTGGGGGATAAAGCAATAATATAATATGATGTACAATGTGCATGGTCATGATTTATTTTGGTAAAGTTTGATAGGTTGGAGCAGACACAATGCACTAGCAAAGCACTTTAACCCTTTAAAATCCCATGCTAATGACATACTAAGGCTTATTATTCAGTAACTACACAGACTACAATGCAAACTAGCTGAGCTATTCTTAGGTTATAGAACACTTTGTGCTTGCCAGTGGGCCCCTGACCATTTAAGGGGTTAAAACCAATACAGTAATGTTTACATTAACATTTAATACACATGTTATTCTCTGTAAATCAGACATACCTTTGTGAGACCCTTTTCATAGTAGATAAACTTACAGATTCAGATTTCTTTACAGTGGTGATCATAGGAACCAGGGGTCAGAACATTCGCAGCACAAATATAGCCATTTTATTTACTATCCAAAATGACCAGTGAACATAGACATGTCTTCTGAGTGTTTATATGTACAGCTGATGATGCTGAAATAGTGATAAATCTAAAAAAACGTAAGTTTTCTTTGGGGACTATTTTGCCTTAATGTCCCTATGCCTGTATGTACCTCCATGAATAGGTTTTTGAAAATACCCTAAAAAATGCTGGGTTAAAAACAACCCAATTAGGGTCATATCCATAAGCCAGCACTGGGATCACTATATACCAGAACACACACTGGGTTAAACTGAACAAGCATCACTGGGTTATGAAAATAACTCGTCATTAGAGTTTCTCTAAAATGTGTTTACTTTCACCAAGCACTGGGTTCATTCGAACTCCTTTGTTGAGTTACTGTCTGATTTTTGTTTCCTTGTTTTTAAATTTCAGTTTTTTATATTTCACACTGTTATCTTTTACTTAATAAAATCAATATAAAATCATCAAAGTACTACACAGTAATGACAAACAATTTAAGCTAATCTTTAATAATATAAGGCTTCTTTTCAGTTCCACATGACAATTAATTTAGCATTCAGAAATACCTTATCCAAAGTGATCTTTCACACATTGAGAGAAGAGTGGTGATATAAAGTCAAGTCAAACTGAGTTTGCTAGGTTAGCTATGTAATTTAGTTGGCAAGCTAACATTAGCATTTACATTTTTGGCATTTGGCAGATCAACTTATTCAGAGCAACTTATATTCTGATCATTTTTACATAGGAAGGTGAAGGTAGTGTTAGGAGTCTTGCCCAAGGACTCTTATTGGTATAGTGTACGGTGCTTGCCCAGGTGGGGGATTGAACCACAGTGTACAGCGTAGAAGGCAGATGTGATAACCACTACACTATACCAACCACTTTACCAAACACATTAGCCACATTAGCCAAAGTACAACTATTACGAGATAATGTTAATATTGCTTAAAAATGATCTAATGTTCAGCTCTGAATGTTGAGAGTATGACACATTTGAAGGCTACAGCTACCAGAAACCAGTGGAAACAAACATTATAGCAAGCTTACCTTAGCTAAGTTATCATAAGAAAAAACAGTTAATAATATGGAGTTTTCTGGATGTGAAACACCTATTTTTGTTTATTTCACTGAGGAAGTAAGTAAATAAAAAAGACAGTTTTTTAAGGATGTTTACTTACTCTTACCTGTTAGCTGTGATTCTGTGCTGCTGTCTGATGAGCAGCCATTTAACTGGCGCTGTCATGATTTCAAAATCAACCCTTTGGCTAAGTTGTTGCAGTTGAGCTCTGCAAAACTACCTAAAAACTTCCCAGCACTGTGGGAAGAACCAAACACAATGACCAAACCCAGCATTTTTTAAAGTTTACATTTACATAGGCCAAAAGTCCTTCTCAAAACTATCATAAAACAATGTATCAGAAATCAGGCAAATTATTCATAATCATATATTATAATAACTTTCTGTGAGGGAGCTTTAGAGGCATTAAACTTTTCAGACGTCTGGTTCCTATCACCACCACTGTGAACAATTGTCTGTAAGTTTCTCTACAACTGAGCCACACTAAACCACTCTGAATTACTTTATTTACATCTCAAGCCCTATTCGAGCTTGATCAGTTTTCCCAGAGGAGTAATAAGTGTCTGTTTTGACTGGCCAATTCATACGGGAAAAGGATCTGTGCCTGAAGACACACATAGTTTATTTAAATATTGAGCACCTCCCACCCACTCCAGTTCCTACCCACTTGAAAAACAGACAACATATAATCATAACATTTTTTACATTATATGAAGATTCCTTACAATATTTCAGACTGTAAGAGCAGTAGAGAACCCGCCTGCTATGCACACAGGAATTAAAAGTTTATTTTACTTTCACTTTCATTTACGGGGCAGTGTGTCTGAATAGGGGCTGTTAGGCCCAGTCCCATTTCTTCTTTTTACCTCTACCCCTTGTTTTCGAGTGTCACCCTAACCCCTTGGAACTGAGTTACTAGGGGTAGTGGTTGAACTATGAAATGGGACAACCTTCAAATTAAAACACTGCTTCATTAACAGGCTACTAGCGGTGCTCTGTAGGCAACCCGGCCCGTCTTTAGTGAGGGGGATAAAGTTCAGCAACCTCGCTGCTGGGCTTTAGTAACATTTAGGGCATCATATGCCTTCAAAGAGGGGGAATAAGACAATTATTAATTATCGGCCACAGCTAATTCTTTGGTGTTACAAAGCTGAAGTCAGCTATTCGCCAGCTTCTTGTTTGAATTTTCCCGTTCCACCTTAAATGGTGCAGCAGGTACATTCTGGTGCTTCAGTCATCAACACTGCTGGACTATTTAAGGTGGAACGGGAAAGTTAGCTAGCTAGCTACAGAGACATTAGCATGCTATTAGTGATTTTTTTTATGCTTGACAACGACCATAACACATTGAAACAGCATTAAAATAAGATAAAACGATGTTTAACGTAATTTTTTAACTGAGAAAATAAGTACATTTGTGGGTTTCTTTGGTCGCTCGCGCAGCCATCTTGCTGGTTTTTCTTTTTTTTCTCATAACACTCCTTTTGGAGGACAGTGTAGCCCTAACACTTCGCCCTACCCCTATATCTCAACAAAAATTGGGACACCCTAACCCTAGACATGAACAGGCAAAACAGAGGGCTAAGGGCTAAGTGGTAGGGGCAAGGGGTAAAATGAGATTGGGCCTTAGTCTCAGCCTAAGATGTTGACAATGTCAGGTACACAGAGCATCTGATATATGTTGTATGCTAAGATAGCCATAGGTATCAGAATTTTGTCTCTGACGATGCAGTTACTGAAAATTCCATTCCAAAAATCAAAGATTATTTATAAAAAAAAGTGTATGATGAGACAAAAAGGTTCTCTATGGGTGAAATGTCTCAAAAGATGAATTAAAAAAAAACAGTCCACAGGTATTGATAGGGCATTACATTCAATCAGCAATGCTGTGAAATACAGTGCTGTACTGGCACTTTGTGAATACATACAGGACTTAAAAACAAGGTGAAAAAGGCATTTTGAAGACAAATACAGGTCTTTCAACCTGCCACATGACTTGCTAACGGACATATCACTGGACCATGCAACCATAAATAAATGCTGCTATGTTTTGGAGCTCCCTTGCTTTGGAGCATGCTTCAGTGTGAATTTGCTGCAGAGAAAAGCATGCTAAAGTGACTGAGTGTTACCTCAGAGCAGCTAGCCAGGAAACAGGATCAGAGAATGAACTAACATGTCTACCCAACAGCATACTGGCTCAGGTTTAGGTTTTTTCCCATATTTCAACTTTCAAAAGGTGGTAGAGCTGCTAATTTGAAGCCCAATAAACACATCATTAGCATGGTGCTAACGTAACAGCTTTTAGCATAATCATAAAATAAAGGCTACTAATAAAGTCACCCATTTTTCTTTAAACACTGCAATGAAAATTAATGGCTGGTGCATGCTCAAGATTAAATGACAAAAAAATAACCACACGCCGTCCAGTTAATGGTGTTATCAGAGTGAGAAGATCAGTTTAAAATGGAATTTGACGACACCAGAACAGCTTTAGTAGTTCACAGGTTTGCCAGTATCAACAATGATGACATTAAGAGCAAATAGTTTGTTGGCATTTAATAATGAATATGCAGAGATAGACACTGAAAGAGTTCAGTTTCTCCAATACCTTGATGAAATAACTCTTAAATTATCAAAGTTGCAGTGCAGTGCTACGTTGTGACATAACAGTTTTGTCCTATAGAGAGCTAAACTACTTAGCAATGTGGTATTGTGACATCAGAGTGACCTTGTCATATTCTTTGTGAGACTTATGAAGAAGACCTATGGGTAGTTCTATATTCCCAGTTTGAAAACTATTTCTATTGCCTGCAAGTTTGACAGGAATGGAGATGAGGATGTGCTAGTGGTTAAGCCCTGTACATCATGCAAATGAGCATCTTTTGTGCATATATTAGTGCTACATTATTAGAACAACATAAAATGTGTTGAATTTCCTCAACACAGTTACTGCTTAAGTTGAATATTATTATTCATTTTCATTCATGAGGAAATTATGTACACATTTAAATCAAGTAAACTGAATACTCATTTAGGCTGTCCTTTTCCACAAGTCTCTTATGAGTCTAATGATTAAGCCAGCCAGAAAGCAAAGTACAAAGTAACTAAGTAAACAATGGGTGACAAGCTGATCCATGTTCAGCACGAACCTATTCCACTTAACTCTGAATTCACTTCAGCCTATGACTCACACACACTCAGCTGTACAAAATAATTCGTTAACATTACGAAAGATTATGACTGAGTTATTTTGGATAGTAACATATCTTACCTGAGCCTTTTTCACATAACGTAGCTCACAGAGCAGCACTGCTAAGGTATGGCGTGGAAACCGGGCAAACCCAGGTACTGGCAAAATCTTCAGTCATGTGATCCACTTATAACACAACAACAAAATAAAAGTACTGCATATGCATGGATGTAGAAATTAATTTAGATGATTTAGACTGTTTTTCTTAGAGAGAAAACCAATGAAAACATCAAATCAATCCATAAATATTGAGAGGAAATTATACCAGTGTTGAGTTATCCAGTTAGATGGTTATATATATATATATATATATATATATATATATATATATATATATATATATATATATATATATATATAATGTATAGTACACAGTCATGCTTAGCCATGCTTAGCATTGTAATGTTGAAATAAGCTTGATTTGGAGGTTACCCATATGGGCACTAATACACTTCCATACCATAACACATACTGGCTTCTAAACTTCACACTAGGTGGTCCTTTACTTCTGTGACCCAGAGAACACAATATCCATTACTTCTCCAAACAAACCGAAAGGTTGACTCGTCAGATCAAAACACGCATTTGCAGTGTGCATCAATCCATTTCAGATGAGCTCCAGCCCAGCATTTCTGTATGTTATTGACACATGGCTTCCACTGTGCATAATACAGTCTTAACTTACACTTGCAGATGCAGCGATGAACGGTGTTTACTGGCAATGATTTCTCAAAGTATTCCCGAGCCCAAGTAGTGATATGCATCATAGAAGTATTACAGTTTTTAATACAGAGCCGTTTTATTTATTTGCTGATGCAAGTGGTGAGGCTCATCCTATCCTTGCTCATAAAGGATTCTGTTCTTCCTGGATGCTCATTTTATATCCAAGAATGATTACATCACCGCTTTTAAAATGTTTTCTGAACACTTAACAGCGTTCCTACTCTTAAACTGCTACTATCCCAACTTTCTGGAATGTGATGCAGACATCAACTTCAGACTGAGTGTGTATTTACAAGAAACAATGAAGTTGATAATATAACATTAATTATCTTGTCTTTTCTGTTTTAAATAAGCCACACCTGGCCAACTGTTAAGCATGGGGGTGGATCTATTATGCTCTGGGGTTGTGCGGCAGCCAGTGGCACAAGAAACAATGCGTTGGTAGATAGAAGAATAGATTCCACTGAATAAATAAAGTAACTGTGCGTTAATATTTGCAGATTTTTTTTAAATAGCTTGCGGCAGAGGTTGTGTTTACTTCTTTCACTTCAAAAATAAGCAAAATATATAATTTGGGCAGTCATTTGCATAAGGCCAAATGTATGTAATACTGTTCTGCTTGTGCCTAACCCTTTTAATAGCCTTTACTTACTGCACTGTATTGTATTGACACTGTGTTATATTGTTTAGCTCTTATAATCCTGGGGTATTTTGCCTAATTGCTTTTGTGTTTTGGTCAATAACAATTACAAAGTATTTACATGAGACCAGATATGTATCATAACTGGAAGTTAACTACTTCATCATCAGGGTTGGGATGTAACGGAGTATAAGTCTTGTATCATATTCAGAATACAAAAATAAAGTATCTGTATTCAGTTCAAATAACATTTTCTAAAGGCATGATTCAGAATAGTTAACTTTTTTACGTTTTAAGAGAATGTTTGCTCAAACATACTATACTTACTCAAAAGATGGATTCTTTAAAAACAAAAGCACCAGCTAAAGCCTGAGTAGCCTAATAAATTAATGTGATCAGCCAGTTATTAATCTGTGTTACTGAGCTCTGCCAAAGCCTGAGTAGACTGACAAAATCAATTTAATGCACCAATAATTTTTCTCAGTGTTACTGAGCTCTGCTAAAGCCTGAGTACACTGATAAATCGATTTAATGTGCCAGTCATTTTTCTCAGTGTTACTGAGCTCTGCTAAAGCCTGAGTACACTGAAAAATCAATGTAAAGTGCCCGTTATTAATCACAGTGTTACAGCTTGTTGAGGGATGATGGAATTAGACAGTTTCCTCAGTAGTGGACATGTTTGTGAGTGATTAGCTTAGCATCCTGGACTTGTGCATTCTTTCATGGCAAGTTGCATACAAGCCAATAACAACAGTCCCACAGCTACCCACTTTCTTGTCATATTTGTAAGATTTTGCCATTAGTATATAGTGATATGTTTGTTTAGATCAACAGCAGAGTTTTTCCCACACCCCACCTAAGGGCACCTTTGAAAGTTAAAGGTGGAGTATACGATTCTGGAGAACAATTGTTGATATTCAAACTCAACAGCAAGACAAATACACCCCTCCCTTCAATACTACTTCAGAAGCTCCGCCCCCAACATTCAGGGACGTGCATTGCCAAGGCGAACTACATTGGGCCAGCAAACTTGTTTTTTTAGGTCTTTGTGGCCATTCAACCCCTTGCAAACATTGTACAGGCAAATGCCATGATATAACACTAGAGCGAACAACGACACAGCAAGCAACGTGACTAACATTAGCTAGGTTGTGGGTTGGCAAACTGTCGCTACCTTTACAACTAACCAGTTGCTTTCATAAACATTACGTTATGGCCAACGAGTCTCCTTGATCACTTTCTGTTCTTGTTTCTTCTCTCAGAGGGTCTTGAAAAGCTGTCTTGTAGGATTTCTTCCATGAATCTACTATTGTGAGCTCTGAGAGTCTCTGTCTTAGAGACTCCAGCTCTTTGTCCTTCTCTTCCATCTGTCTGCTGAACTCCTCCTGCATCTTTTAATTTGAGACCACAATGCTTCTCTTGAGTCCAGGCAGGATGATCTTCATGAGGTTTCTCTCTGCCTCCATTCTGGCTTCCCTGATTGTTTTCCTTGTTTTCTTTTCATCTCCGTCTTCTTTGCCTTCCAATAGCATTTTTTTTCTAGTATTTCCATCTTGATCTTTCTCTCCATCACTCTAATCTGAGATTCTGTCTCCAGGTAGATCTCACTGCTGTAGAACATCTCTGTTTCCTTCCACCATCTTCTCTATCTTCTCCAGCAGCTCTGAGATTTGAGAACCATCTCCACTCTCCTTAATGTTGAGACAGTGAAACCTGTTCCCACATTTCTCTACGAGTCTCTGGACCTCCTGGTTTCCTGACTGGATAAACTCTTCAATGTTCTCCTCTTGGACTTCATCAGTATCAGTGAAAAGGATCATGGTGTTCCTCCAACATCTCTCTCCAAAAATCTCCTCCATTTTCTCCAGCATGCCTCTCTCCTCTCCTGTAGACTGCTTCACTGGTATGACTAGGAGGAAGGCGTGGGGTCCTGGGGCAGACAGACGGACACAGAGTCCCACATCCTGTCTCAGCTCCTCCAGAGAGAGTCCAGGATAGAACCAGTCAGGAGTGTCCACCACAGTCACCTGCCTCCCAGCCACCTCCCCCGGTTTCTCTCACTCTGCTGCCTCACTGTAGACACTCCAGCCTGGCTCCTCTTCTTTCTGCCCAGGAGAGTGTCTTCTGCTACTCTCTTCCCACATCCAGTCCTCCCCAGCAGCACCAACCTGAGCTCTGATGCAGGATCTTGAGATTCTGAACTACAGAAATCTGCACTCACTAGGAAAAGAAAAAAAAAAAGAAGAGAATGTGAAACTCCATTTCTAAACATTCTGCTCACCATAACATTGTGGTTTATTCATTTATTTATTTATTCATTTTGTTCATGTCATTTAAAGTCATTTAAAGATTCTAATGTTCCCTTTTATTATTAGGAGAGTACAACTCAATGTTGTCTGTGTTTTTGTAATAAAAAAAAAAAAAGGTCAGAGATGTTTCATTTAATTTCCAGTCAAAACAACCAAGTTCAAGTTATTCATTTTTCAGGAGATATTTCATGAGAATACTTGCTTGAGAAAGAGGGAAATAAAATAAAGGTGTTCAGAAGATTATTATAAGACATAGGACCCATTAGACCCCCAAAACTGTCCCCCTCAGATAAACAGTACTTGAGAGGAGGAATCAAGCTCCACTCTTGCTTCAGCTCTTCAGTCCATTACTTTTCTCAAAAATAGTTTAATACATACATCAAATTATTCTATTATAAACCTAAGTATAAACTCAAGTTCAATATAAATTTCATGAAATTTATACACAATGTAAATATAAATCTATTTTCCTGAGGCAGAAAAATTAATAGCGCATATATATATATATATATATATATATATATATATATATATATATATATATATATATATATATATATTTTAGTTTGAATTGTGGAATAATTTCCAGTCATTATGAACTTCAATTAAATTAAATAATGTGACTTTCCAGTCAGACTTGGAAAACCCCCTCCTGAGGATGTATCTTGAAGGTGTAAGAAACTGGGCAGGGCTGGATTTTTAGGACCATACAGGAAGTTCAAGCCAGTCAATGTTACTGTTAGAAAGTGTGAAAACACCTTCAAGATACATCATTAGAGGGGGATTTTCATGGTCTGGCCAGAGTGTCCCTTTAAAGATTATCTTACAGTACAACAGTTCCAAAGCTTTAATATTTACAACACACACCATGTAAACAAATGTTTCTAAGCAAATGTTTCATAGCATATACAATGGTCCCAAAATATTTTGGAGATTTGTAACATACAAAATCTATTGTAGTTCATTGTACTAGGAAACATCAAACCACATGACTTTTATTTTAAACAGAACATTCCAAGACTAATTTTCTTTTCAGCAAAGTATTCCCTCAAAGGCCAGATGATGTGATGTCTTCCAGACAGTTATCATTTGAGCAGTTTCTGCAGGTTTGCATCAGAAAATGTCTTTGTACACGTTTGAGTTTATGATCCCATCAATGAACACAAGTTCACTGATACCACTTTAAGAAAAAACAGCTCCAGACTTTTATGACTTCCTTTTGCCTTTACAGCAGCCATGGATGGAATACTTCTCCAGGTTTTATTTACACAAAGAGTCTACTATCAGTTTGATGTGCTAAAGCAACCTATAAAACCTCAGTAAAGTTTACCCATGGTTAAATAGTCCAAGTACTTTTTAGGGCCACTGCATACAGTCTATACAGTGAATCAAAGTTAACAGGGCATGAAAAATATGCATATATGCTTTACTAGAGCTTTCATT